ATGCGAGACGGCGGCGTTCGATAATGGCAACGATCGTGGTGGTGGTGGTTGATTTCAGTGTTCGTTGCGCGGCTGCAGCATGTTTCAAGAGCCGTTCTTTCTACACCCGCCGGGATCACGGCCACGCGATGGGATCTACATAAATCCGATGAGCGCGTACATCGGTGAGCCCGCGAAGCCAAAAGACACGGAATCTTTCTACCTGCACAGCCCTCACGATCTCGTCTACACGAGGATCACGCGACTGTTCGCGGCGGATACGGACAAGCAACTCCACCACCGGCACTCGGACAAGAAGGACGAGACTTTGACTGGTAAGTGGCACGCGACTCGCACAGTTCGATCGCGATCCCGCTCGCGATCCCGCTCGCGCTCACCGAGTCTTTCCTCGTTCCGCCGTTCTAGTGAAAGTGGACGTGCACATCAACAATGGCGTTCTCGATCGACCGTCCAGCGGAAACGGTTACGCGGCCAAATCGGAAATGGTTCGCGAGCCATCGGAGCACGCGTACGAGCAGATCTGTCTGCGGCAGGATACGGACACCGGTGGCGGTAGCAATCCCGGCGTTACACAGAAGAAGCTGCCCGACAACGCGTCCGATCGCAGGTACCAACGATACCGGTGCAAATCCACGGATTTCGTAAGCGTCTCTTCTCCTCGTAAGCGGGGACCGCTTTCGAAACGAGTTCAGTTTCCGCTGATGCTCGGTCAGCCGTTTCTCACGCGCCGCGCCGCGCCGCGCCGCGAGACCTCGATATTTCGAGCAACTCGCGGTTCGGAGGGGATCGCGTAGAGATCTGAAATCTGAATGCGATTTCAGCCGTTCCCGAAAAACCGATCGCAGATACAGCAGATCGAGCAGCGCGAGCGAGTCGTCGAACGTGAGCAGCGAGATCCCGTGCTTCTCGTCGAGCGGCTCGACGCCGCCGTCGCTCTCGCGGAATAGCAGCAACGAACGGATCGGCAAGAACGGCAAGATCACCGCTGAATCGTCGCACGGTACGTCATTGCGATCCTCTGTAACCTCGAATCCCGTAAGTAAGAATCCCGTTCACCGGAGAACCTGTACGATTTTTTTGCTCAGAGAAAAAGGACTCGACGAGCTGTGCTTTGCAAGTAGAAAGCGAAAAGGAGATCGTCAAACCGGCCCACGGCAGCGGGGCTAGGTAAGTAAATAAGTAGGTCGAACGATAACCAAGTGTGACGCGCGAGATCGAGAGCGCCGCGCCGGGGTGAAGCGAGCAGATCGCGAGGTTCTGCGCGATCCTTTCCGAGGGGATCTCGCTCGATTCTCCTCGATACGGTCAGGTGAATACCGCGCGCGCGCACCTCGATCAAACGGTTCACGCGGGATGGACCGTAAGAAAAGTTTTGCTTGCGGTATATCCTTCGTATCGTCTTCTTCCGTCCCTTCCACCGCGCGTCTTTCACAGCTTCGCCAAGCCGCCGCCGCCACCGCCGCCGCCCCCACCACCGGACAAGGAAGACGTCGTGGTGCTCGTGGTGAACGCCAAGCAAAACTGTGAACCCGCTGCCGCCTGGGACGAGAAGAAGGACGCCGCTGCCGAAGCGAACCGGGATGGAAGAACCGAGAACGGACTTCTGCTGTCTTCGGGTAAGCGCCACTTTGATTCGGGGGGAAACGTAGAGAGGAGAATTTAATCGGCTCGAACGATCGGCTCGACCGGTTTTAAGTATCTATTTCGGACGGTCGTTCGACCAGCCTTAACGAGAATGACGACGATAATTAAAGCGTCGGTGAATCGCAAAGACGGCCGGCCACTTACTAGACCATGGCGCTCATCGGGCATATAATACACTTACCTAGATTTCACTTGCCCGGCGCGTACTACGCTTCGTTCTCCCCTACTCCTTGCTTCTGTTTCGGAACAGCAACCAACAAGTCCGACGTATCCTGCGGCGAGCATCAACAGCCGGAAGTACCTCCTGCCAGTCCACCGGCGGACACCGAGGAAATTAAGACGAATCAAACGTCCCATCTGGTGAACAAGCATATGGTGCTGCCGTTCATACCGCCCAAGTTCGCCAACGCGGACTCCAACACACTGCTCAAGCCGTCCGAGTATCTCAAGAGTATCTGCAAGGCTTCCTCCAAGCACAGCCTGTCGAAAGCAAGGTCGGTCCAATTCGAGAGATCGGTTCGGATCCCTCTTCCCCTTTCCATATTACGTATACGAGTAGTAGTACACCACCTACCAAAGATAACCGCGTTCGCAGATCGGTGGACAACTTGGACATACAGAGCAGAAGCGCCGATCGGAGAAGAGAAGGTTCGACCAGCAGACCGGAAGGGGAGGAGGAACCGGAGGAGGAGGAAGAGGAGGAGCGG